CATGAAAATCGGACAATCTGGATCTCCCCTGTCCTCCCCTCCCTTTTGCTCCCCTCTCCACAACCCAACAAACCGTTTTCCATCAAATACGGCCACCCCAAAAGTGTATACACTTTTGGGTGTGGTTGGGAAATTGATTTACACCCCGGGTGTAAAATTAGCCCCCCAAATTCGAGATTTGGGGGTTAAATTTAGACCCCCGGTCTAAATTAAGGGTCTAAATTCGTCGGGCGTGTAAATTTAGCCCCATTGGGTCTATCAGGAAGTGAGCTTATACGCTGTACGGGAAGGCGAAAGTAGCCAGATTCCCATGCTGAGCACGCTTCGAACTTGTCACAGCTTTGAATGCTTCAGCTCTATGCAGCTGCATGTCTGTCAGCGTCTTGAGACATCACGAACATGTGAGCGCACAAAAAATGCAGGGAATCGGGAATTTCTGGATTTCGTGCTCCGATTACAAAAAGATTTGAAGGCAAACTCACCTCTGCGAACATGAGAGACCCCCACCCGCTAGCAAATCGAGCCTCTGTGACTTCACTGACTTGGTCCAAATCCGGCCAGCTGCAGAATGCCTGTCGACTCAATTCTGATTGGTTGGCAGTCAACACAAGTGGAGCTTTCCTGGACGAATGGTCGCCACAGAACACGACCTGCTAGCAGTTTCTCACACTTGAACTCTGGAAGACGGCGTGGTTGTTTGACAAGCACGTCACAATGCCGCCAACCTTCTGCATCCTTTTCCGCTAGCAGAACCAAACGATCCTGCTAATATGGGCTCTTGTCAATGGAGGCATGAATCCCAACGAAGATAAGAAACCTCGTCGTCCTCTGGCAGTGATCCGGGCACGGCCCCTGTGAACAAAAGGATGTTCAAGAACATCCGAGCATGTTCAAACATCGAGCGGCCGACATATCTCTGCCATGGCAACTTTCAAGCCTCTCCTGAAGTCTGCCTGTCCGTCTGTACGTCCGTCCGATTTCAGCACGCCACACATCTCAAGCCCGAGCCTCTGGGAGCCAATCATCAGCTGCTGAACCAGCAGCACTCATGATGCAGGATCCCTTTCCTTGCACACAAGACCCAACAAGCATCAGCAAGACATACTCTGAGTTGCCCCATGCAACTCTAGGTACCGCACCCCAAAGTCGCTGTCTTGCAGCTTCTCGGAGCTCAACCACCTGAAAATCCAGATCTTTTGGTTGCAACTCGAGACCCGTTGACTCGGGCGACTTAAGTACTGCTTGATGAAAGGCTGGGAAGCAAGCTAAACTTTCCATCTCCGGCTGACCCGCCTTGCAATGCCGTTTCTGGACAGGTCCCGCCGACAGCATCTCACACGTTCGGATCCCTGCACGATCTATCATGTCGTACAGCAAAGCCATTTGGACCTCGGAAGCAAAGGCACGCTCATTATAAGCTTCGTTCTGTTCCTGCTTGCCAGCCGACAGTCCCGGATCCTCCAGAGCGCTTGCCAGCACTGGCCTCGGGCTTCGAACCCTTCGCACGTCATTTTGAGATTCAAGCAGGGGGCCGCGACTGCTATTGCTGAAAGCAACTCGTCGGCCTGCAAACATCAAGGTTCAATGCTTATCTCATCAACACCGCCCACACCTCCTCCACAGATATGCCAAGCCGCAGGTGCCCTAAAAGGCTCCCAAGCAGGTCTCGACCTGAATCCATGATCGGCTACATCACTTGTTGGGCACGGACGTCCAAGATGCCAAGCTGACCAACGCAGCCTCAGCCTGAGTTGTCTGCAGAAGTCAGTAACAACCCTCGTGCAAAGCACAAAACTTGTGGACCTGCTGTCGACTGGATCCGTCCGCGAGATCGAACAAACCTCGGATGTTTTGGCAAGTAGCGCATTGGGAAGTTGCTTACGCTTGTAGACAAGGGCGTCACCCAGTAATGAGCCAAGTGTGATCTTTGATCCTGCCATGAAGAGCCGCTGCCGAACCTGGTGTATTTGGGCATTGGTGGTCAACACGAACTAGGCTCCGTGTTAGTTTTTGACCAGCCGCTCGCCAAAGTAGGGCGGAAACCACCTGAGCCCGCATCAGAGAAGCTGACCCTTAAGCCCTCGAATATTTAATGACCGAGGCAGCAGCTAAAACTTGCGGGGCACTGTGTGCAACAGAAGTTCGCCTTGGAGGGTTCATCGCAGGGCGAGGCCTCAGCAGCAAAACTTTGCAGACACATGGATGAAGTCGTCTTCAGTCATTTTGAGGTGTTTGCGGGACATTGCTCCACGATAGGGGATCTGCCCTGATCAGCCACGGAAACATAAGAAATGCCATTGACGAAGCCCGGCCACGACGTGCCTGCTTGGAAGTGCAGTGAGCCCAAGCCTTGGCCTCGGTCACGTCAAGTGCCCATGGAAACAATCCTGGTTTGGCGTGAAACTCCCGAGTCCGCTGCAGCAAGGTGTTTGGCCTAAGAAGTGGCTTGGACATGCCCGCTATTTCAGACATTCATGCCAAGAGTTTGGCAGTAATCGCCCTTCACCATCCTGTCGTGCAGCATGAGCCAAGACTGTTTGTGATTGTCGCTTTAGGATGCGGATCGCGCCTTATCTGTAAGCTCGGATAGCCACTCCATCCTGCATTCCGCTCTAAGTGGTCAGGCAGCAAAGAATGCGGAGCTGAGACCAAGGCTGATTGTGCGTCATGTACGGCTCGGCCTGCGATTGTTGCAAGACGCAAGTCTCTCGATACAGCGAGGCAACTTCAGATGCGGTTGCCTGCATCAGAGCCACTCGGAACTCTTGTTGTGAAGCCCGTGAGCCTCTTGATGGAGTGTGTAAGCATCCGTGTATATGGTTCTATATGCGTGTATATAGTTACTTTCATGAATTTGTTGGCTTAGTCGCAGACCACGACATGCAGCCCTGTCTGCCACGCTTGGCCCTCCCATGCGGCAAGCTTTGAGTCTCGGGCCAAGCCGCTGCAACGCAGGGCCCAGTCGTTTCGGATCCTTAACAAACGATCCGACAAGAAACGCCGACTGCCAATCTGCACATCAAAGCTAGGTCTTGCACAATCTGTTCAATGCCAGCAGCCTCTGCTGGAACCTCGAGTCTGATGGCATATGAGCCGTCTGCAACATAAATCGTTGAGAGGGTGCTCAAGCTTCTGGCTCCCATAGCACAGGCTGCCTCTGCCGCAGTTGCGAGCTGTGATAGGGGCAATGTTCCGGCACCTGAGGCGAAGGCAGGTGACAAGCAGTGAAGTGGGGGGTCGAAGCAGAGGTGGAAGCTGGGGGTGTCGCCCAAACCACGAATATGAGCAAAGATCTGCAATGGGTCAGATTGACTCTGCTTGTCATGACTAGCTGCTGGCGGGCATCTTGAGTTTCAAGCGGGCTGTACTTCTGCTCGGGATATGCCCAGTGGCAACACCTGCTGTTCAGCATGTTGCTACGAAACCAAAACTTCATGTCTTGATGAGCACGGGACACTGACAGCTTCCATGACTTCCTCAAGAGTTGTGACATCAGGGCTGCGCGCGAAAAGGCGCAGCACCTTGCGGAGTGAACTGCTCAACACAAACACTGGCCGCGTGCATCACTCCTATATCATGAGGAAGGGACATCTACTCCCGGGCCGGGAGCCTTAGCAAACAAGTTTGGATGAGCCCGAGTGGACCAAGAATTGAAGGGTCAGCTTGCACATGTTCATGCTGCGGAAATGAGGCCGACACCCGCGCACGGCCCAACAGGTGTTGCGACCTGAGGCTACATAATCGTCTCTTCAAGGTATTTGTGGCTTCATCAGGTCGGAGCAGTCGGAGGAGCGCAGCCTCTGCACGGCCTTCTGGGACGTGAGCTTACAGGCTTGACTTCAGTTCAGAAAGCATCTGGCACAGGGCTTTAAGCCGACCTGTGCCACCGTTCTGCGGATTTGAAGTCTGCCTTGACCGACGACGGATCCGTTCTCAACTCATGACGGACGGCTTTTAACTTATGATCAAGCTTCCGTGGAGGAAAAGCAAACTTCGGCAAACTTTGCTGGACAGTTTCGGCGCTCCATCTGCATCGCTTGCTGGACAGTTTGAGCCCCAGGCCCGGCTGCCGTTCCTGATGCACATGCACAGCACTTGACGTGAGGTTCTAAAGGTTCATGTTAAAGCTCACAGAAAGCCCCACACCTCGAAAATAAATGTTGGGCGAGAAACCCAAGACCCTGCTTTTTTCAAGAAAGTGTTGGTTGCCGAGCTCCAAAAAACGATATTGGGCGAGAAACCCACAGCCCAAAAGGAGATGGTGGTTGAGAAACCCTGAACCCTGTAAGGAAATGTTGCCGGCCGAACCCAAAACGGAGATGCTGGTTGAGACACCATAAAACCCAAAACATATCCACCGTTGAAGGAGATGTTGGTCGGGAAACCAAAGAGCCTAACAGGCGATGTTGGTTGCCGAACCCAAAACCCTCACAAAAGGAAGGTCGGTTGAGAAACTCGAGCTTTCAAAAATCACAACCACAACACGAGATTATGGTTGAGAAACTTTAAACCCTAAAAGGGAACGTTGCTAGCCAAAGTCCACATCCTGAAAGCAGATGTTGGTTGAGAAATCAACCTTCAGAGGGGTTGATGTTGGCAAAGGCTGGGCTTTCACGTAGTAGGAGCAGTAGCAGCGGGAGCAGGGGAGGAAAAGAAGTAGGAGGAGCATGGTGGTGGTGGTCGTGGTGGTGGTGGTGGTGGTGGTGTTGGGTAGTTGAGTTTTTGTCACCCACATGGCACGCCTGTAACGTCACTGCGGGGCACGAGACGAGGACAGAAATGTAGTAGTAGGAGTAGTAGTAGTAGTAGTAGTAGTAGTAGTAGTGGTGGTAGTAGCAGCAGCAGCAGCAGCAGCAGCAGCAGCAGCAGTAGTTTTTGTCACCCACTTGGCACGTCGACGACAGCACTGTAGTAGTAGTAGTAGTAGTAGTAGTAGTAGTAGTAGTAGTAGTAGTAGTAGTGGCAGTAGTAGTCGTGGTCGTAGGAGTACAGGTGGGAGTAGTAGTAGTGGTAGTAGTAGAAGTCGTAGCAGCAGCAGCAGTAGTAGCAGTAGTCGTCGTCGTAGCAGTGGCAGTGGCAGTGCAGTAGCAGTAACAGTAGCAGTAGCAGTAGTAGGAGTAGCAGTAGCAGTAGCAGTAGCAGTAGTAGTAGTAGTAGTAGTAGTAGTAGTAGTAGTAGTAGTAGTGGTAGTAGCTGGTAGTGGCAGCAATAGTAGTAGTAGCAGTAGTAGCAGTAGTAGCAGTAGTAGCAGCAGCAGCAGCAGTAGGAGTAGTAGTAGTAGTAGTAGTAGTAATAGTAGAATAGTAGTAGTAGTAGTAGTAGTAGTAGTAGTAGTAGTCGTAGTCGTAGTCGTAGTCGTAGTAGTCGTGGTGGTGGTGGTGGTGGTGGTGGTGGTAGTAGTAGTGGTAGTAATACTAGTGGTGGTAGTGTATCCGATTTTGTGCTTTGTGGGTGCGACTCGTGTTCCCGTGCACATTCCAGGGAACCATCTTTCCTCCACAGTTTGATGAACATTTTGATTCTCCGGAAGGCCTAGGCTCAACAGGCAGTCAAATGCGGCCTCCTGCTGGTGCGGCAGGCTGACCGACCTGATGTGGGACATGGCTGTCCAGACGGGTCAAAATGCACTGCAAAGTAAGACTGACGAGGAAGTTCAATACATGCTGCATACTTCCTATTTTGCTCTACCGCCTGCGTTGTCTGCACTGCAGTCTGTAGCAAAGCCGCTCCCTTCTTTCTTCCTTTCTGCAAGGCAACGCGAAAACAGCCAGAAGTCTGTGATGAATATTGCCAGACTGCAAGCTACTATCGGCAGTGAAGGCATTAAAAACAGGAAGAAAGCCCAGTGCTCGTAATCTCCAGGATTTCCACAGCCCGAAGCTGTTGTCTTGAGGGAGCGGAAGGCTGCCGGCATAAGTTGTTGGAAAACAGGTTGTGCCGGCCTCGAATTGAGCGACTAACTGATGCAAGCTCTTCACTATCTTGAACCTCTCGGCTAAAATGGCACCCCGTCTGGATGCCCTCACGAGTGCTGCGTGGTGGCTCTGCCACAGACTTGGAGTATGTAAAACAATTCTGCGTCGGTTTTGCCTGCGCATGAACCACCAGCTGCTACTGTTGCCACCTCAGATAGCTTTACCTCGCACTTCCGTTGGGCACGCCTCCGCGCATTTCTGATACCTGAGCCGACAACGGCGGCTGCCGTTGGGGGAGGCCCCCGATACACAACTGCAATCCTGAAACAGATGCTGGACCAAGTTGCTGCTGCTTTTGCTTTTTCCACAAGCTGCATCACATGCTGCTTGGCCTTTGTCAGTGTCAATGCAACGCGACGTGCCTGTGACATGTCCGCCTGCCTGACCCATCATTGGTGCTGACTTAGTCTTGGCCACTGCGAGTGTGTCGTTGAGGCAAGGTTTCAACCTGGGAACGACAAGCCCTGTCAATCTTTCGCATACAGCAGGTGGATGCGATGTGCGGAACTGAATGTCTGAATTAGGCAAGAGTCTGAGCTGATTTGTACGCCCCAATACCTGCAGGTAAGAGCCACCACGTCCAGGATTGCTTTTTGCATGTCACAGGTGAGATTGTTAAATGGTGGATCATTGAGCCTGTGCCCACGAAAAAGCCGAAAAGGCAATCCAGCATGGTGGAGGCTGTCAGAAAGACTCTCGTGCGAAGCTTGCTTGAGCAGGAAGGCTGGCCGTGGTTCACCATCAGTCAGCCGAAGTAGTTCTAGTCTTTCAAGAGGCAACACGCACGCTGAAAACGTTTGGATCTGTGCATTGGATTTGGCTGGGCTTGCCGCTGGGTTCGGGGCCATGGGAGAGGGCAAGCCGCCCGGCCCTCTTAGCCTAAGGGTGCAGGTGCCGAAAAGAACATCAGGTGAACTTGTCATGACATCTCCTGAGATTTCTGCCCAGTGTTGCGAGGACGCCCTGTAAGTACCGCAGCATTCAGTATTCCACGCTCGGTGTCTGCAACACCCTGGCTCGTGTTGGCCGGCCTCCTTGTGCCGGGTTCAGTGGACCAGGAACCAACCTGTAAGCAGTCTCGGGCATGACTGTCTCTCCTGCTCAGTTGCCGAACCCAGTATCACCCCGAGGCTTTAAACCCTGGCACGGCGCGCAATGCAAAAGCAATCCTTCATCTTCAAAAGTTGTCGATTTCTGGCTTCGTTGCTCATTGAGTGGGAGACGGCACAGGTGGACCACCCGCTCCAACAGGCGCTCGTCCCACTCCCTCAGACGTTTTTTCTGACTTGTGAATTTCTTGTGGACACGCTGAGGATCAAGCTCCCGCCAAAGTTGCACCGGTTTGCCTCAGATGGCATGTGCGATGTCTGTGTTTGGGCTTCGTAACTCAGGCTCGAAAGCAGAGAGGCGTAGTCTGATCGAATCCTTTCTCCAGCTGTGACAGGGCCTGCCACGAAAACCCACGTACCGTGGATTGCCTTACATCCCACACCCGCTGCAATTCATTCGTGGCCGGACCTCGGGAACGTCCACTTTGCCATCAGGGCCTTGGATTCCCTACACACGCTATAGAATTTGCGTTAACTCTATCTCATGGATCTCATCGCCAGGCTTGGCTCCTCAGCGGCTACTCCAAGTTTCGAGCACTTTGGCAGCAGCCACAGGAGCTTCTTGTGCTGCTCTTCACTTTGAGGGAGAAGACCTTGGTCACATTGTGCTACTCCATACGCGGCCTCAAACATATTCAACCGAGGATTTTCCACAAAAGGTAAGTAGGTCAGTGGCGCTGCACGACCGCTTGGAAGTCGCCTCGGCTCAAGGCAGATCTGAAGGGCTCAGGAAACAGAAGCTCAGCGCTGCAAGCCCAGCTGGGCGGCGTGCTCTCATGAACTGCAGTAACACCGTCTTTGCAAAGAAGCCGATATATTGCTATCCTTGGCCGGTTCTGGACTGAAGCTCCAGATGAGTGCAGCCATTCTTTCATCACATGCAGCTCTTGAGTGGTTCCCCTTGCAGTATGCTCGTACCCTCACCGGCTTCAGTTTTGTATCTGAGGCAGCTGCGTATCAGTGCCTGTGGAAGATGCAGGCATTTTTGGTGCGCCGAATGCCTCGAGACTCCAAGCAGCTCCACACACGGGAAATTGGTGAAAACATCATGTGCCGAATGACACTTCGCTTTTGCTTTTTGCCCCCGCCCATCCTTGTTCCATCCGAGTGCTTTTGAAAGGATCTGAGAGAGCGGCACCAGGATTGAGCTGCTCAAGGTGCTCGTCGCGAATGGACCTGAGAAATGCCGAGGTGCCAAGTCTGGCTTGCGACTCTCGTACGACTGACGCAGCTCTCAGGAAGGGGCTTGACACCAACTCCTGCAATCCGGACATTCCAGCGGCAAGTTGCAGCCTCAGAAAGAACACCACTTCCCCTTTTTTGCAGGGTCCAGTTGCTATGCGGCGTATCATGCAGCAAGAACTGCTCATCTCTTTCAGGTGCTACTGCCCAAAAAACCATCCCACACCTGTGCACATATGCCAAAGCCCAGGACATTCCACGTCTCCACAATGCCTTCACACCCATTCAGCTTTGCACCCATGGCGCTCTGCAGGCCTGAGCCAACCAGAGGACGGTGTAGTTGCCGTCAACATTGAAGATCGACATTCCAAATTCACGGAAGTTGTGCGGTGACATGCAAGGTCTTCAGCATTCGGCTGTGAATTCGTACCTGAGCTCCAGGATACACATCTCGAGCTTTGGCCTCGGGAGGATCGAGACGTTTCTCTGGTCAGCTCTTTCAACTGTTCAGAAATACAGAAGATGCTCAAGTCCGAAAGTGGTGGTGAAACAGGCCTTTTTTGGCACTCGCACTCGACAAGCAGGCGAGGGTCCAGGCTCTCGGGAGGTTTGAGGCGCTCAGGTGCTTTAACCTAAGACAGCATTAACCCAGCAAACAGGCCTTACACCTTCATGCCTAGACGTAGAACATTTTGATGGCAACAAATCCTTCTTCTGGCCCCAGAAATATAACAAGCGTGTCATCGCTTGAGATCTCGGCGTCGTCCTCGGTCATGGCCTTCTGCGCAAGTTCGCTCAGCAGCAGCTTCGCCCAGTCCTCCACTCGCTGGGGCCATGCTGCTGAAAAAGGCAGCATATGGGTCCTACACAATTTCCCTGCACGATGAAGCTGATGTTGATGATGGCGACACCGGCGATGCTACTGATGCTTCTTGTTGTCATCGTCGTCCCCGCTAGTGTGAGTGGCTTCGTGCTTGAGCGAATAATCCAAGAGGGATCTTACACCAGGTAGCGGGGCTTATGACCAGACGGCCTGCACCTGTTTGACAGACCCCATAGCTCAACAATGGTATCAGCAACCAGGGCCAGATTGCTTGCACAGCCGCGAGGGAACTCCCGTACGGGCATGCCTGGCTCTCAAAATGCATGCGAATGATTCACTCATTGCCTCAGACTTGCTATGTAGGGTCAACATGGACCGCATTGGGTAGCCCCTGTGCAGATGCACTGCATGCTGATCACAGCAACCGAGCACATTGCAAATGTCCTCCAAGTGCTGCACCTCCGGAAAATTTCCTGCATGGGCATGCAGTCTGTCATCTAACTCGCACAGGCATCTGTTGTGCAGCATGTTGCAGCAGCAAACCTGCGATCAAACGGTTGACGCATAAGTCGCGGACGGTGTAGTGCGTCACCGAACAGGTCCACAGGCACATGGCTGGACGCACCCTGCAAAAAGATCCGGACCTGCAACGAAAAGTGCTCGTGATGACTCGACAGCCGTTCTGCCTTACCAGCAAAGATCCATGGAACTTGCGATTTCCGACGGCTGGCAACTCAAACGTCGACTGCTTGCTCGAGTCTTGTGCTCAGGCCGAGTCTATGAAAAAGGTATGTCCCATCATGGACCTATGTACCCTCAAAAGAAGCTCTGACTGCTGTGCAGGTGCATCATCTCCGGGTCCTTGTCCCGTCTGTGACAGTGACTTCGAGCTCCAGCTCCGGTTGAACATCCCCGGGCTCAAAAAGATCACGCCATTCCGGATTCCCGATGTGCTTGGCATTGAATGTCCAGTGAAGTGCCTTGGCGTGCTTCAATCTGCAGCTGCAATCACACGGACAGCTTCTTCATGTGGTCGAGCACGGTCTCATATGAGCTGGTTATCCTTGGGTGTGAGATGTCAAAACACTCAACCGATGGGGTGGCTTCCGTGCGGGAACCAGCCCGTTGTCAACTCTGAAGGCCAATGCAAACGGGCATCGTTTGAAACTTTTTAACTGCTTGGTCTTGCTGCAATCCCGGATTTTTGTCCGGGTGGTGTTGCAAAGCCAGCTTGCGATATGCCTTCCGAACCTGCGCACAGCTACAGCGTAGCCAATGCTTCTGAGCGGAGTGACAATGAAGGTGAGAGCGAGAACACAATGGCATGCCCGAGTCAACTTCACGGAAAAGCTGCTCACGATGCGTAACAGGCAATGCTGAACTGCATGCGCATGCTGCACTTGCACCTGTTCATGGTTTGCTGACAGCTCCAGTCCCAGCCTCGGGTCTTGCGCAAGCTAAATTTCTTTTTCAAGCGTCGCTGACAAAGCATTTCATGTGCGACTTTGAACTCGGCCTCAAGTTTAGGCTTTCGTTTTGTAAACTTGAGGCCGAGCCACTCGCGGAAGGCTGCGGCGACTTTAGCCGAAGGCGGAGCCGGCGGAGCAGTGGCTGCACCTTTGGGGAGTGCCAGGGTATTGTGGAACAGGCTCTCCGCCTTCTCCGTGTGGTATGTTTGTACACTGACCCTACAACCGATATCTGTGTCCGATGCCTTGGAACCTGCAGCCTCAAAGGATGGCAACTGTCGCAAACACGGCAGGATCTCAAAGGACCACATCCGGCGAGGGCAGAATCTCGAATGCACGCTACACCGCAGCACCTCCCGGGTCCCCGTTCGGTTCGAGTTCGACATGGGTTACATGGTGTTTGCGGGCCTGACAGAATTTGGCGACAGGTGGCCCACGTGCATATGTCAGGAATCAACAAAAGAGACAAGACACTTTGTCGACGCGGTGGTGGCTCGAAACGTGACCAGTCGGGAGGATCTGGTGCCTCCCAGTCTTCTGGAAGCACGCCCCAATTCCTGAGAGGGACAAGGGTCTAAATCGCCCAAGTTGTCATGTTATGTCACATACAGCCAGTTCTGGAGCCAAGCATCTTCAAGACCAGCAGCGCAATAAGCTCCTCATCATGAGCCATACGGAAAGCGTTAAGTCATCTGTGTACGATTGCAAGCCAACAGCTCAGCATATGAGCGCTTTATGCAGCCTGCCTCAGGATCTCCCATTGCGGAGATGCCATGTTTGAGACACTCCTTGCGGAGCTCTGCCGGCCTCGATGGTACGACCCAAGGGAAACCTGCACATCCTGTTGCTATTCACCAGCACACTCGCTAGCAAACACACTTCCGAAGCCGAAGCCGGACTGCAAGGCTCATAATGCTAACGAGAAGGGTGCGCCCACTCTTGCAGCACGAGCATCTGCGCGTGAAAGGAAGCGTGTCGTTTCGACTCTGCAGCTGAAGGGCCGGAGCTCTTGCCACACGAGATAGTGTTTCAATCGGGAGATCATCGCTGCTTTGTCCAGGGCTTCAGGTGGCAGGCCCAGCAAACGATACCTTGGCCGAGTGCGACTCTGCAATCACAACTTGCGTCATTTATGACGAGCTCAACACTGCAAACAAAGACCAGCAAACGATTTTTCAAGAGCTTGTCAACGTTCTCATGCCGCAGGGCCACGCTGCACTGACATCCGCCTGCTTTGCAGCCTCCAGCCGGCCAAGTTCCTGCCGATGCATGGTTGAGCCGCACAGTCCAAACTAAGGAAGGATCTCTGCTGCGTTATGTCTTTGTGCTGACTTGGTATAGCTTCAACGCACCAATCTCAGGAAGTCCTCGACTATGACAATGGCAGCTTCCAGGCTGGTTAGCCGATAGACCGGGATGCCTGGAGTTCATGATGGACATCATGCATCAGGCTGCTGGGCTGCTTGTGGCTGGCTCTCGATGGCGAGCCGACCAGCATGTTGCAATATGGCAAAGCAAAGCGATGGCATGCACTTAGATTGGCTCGAGCCTTGTTTTTCCCATCCATCCACACCAAGGCTGAGTATAAGTCGGTCCATCAGCACCTAACCCAGAAATCGAGCCACAGGTCATTGTAGCCTATGTGTCGTGGTGTTGAAAGAACTGCGGCACAAGGTATCTCCGATACTGCAGAATTCCGCAGAATTCCTGGAACGACACGACCGGCACCATGATGTATTTTCACTTGCCCCGCGATTGAGAAAAGAACATCGCAATCCAACTCTCCATACTGACATGCCCTCCAGCTCAGGAGCTTGGATCTTGTCTGCTTCGCTGGGCCGGGTGGGAAAGCCACCGGAGCTGAGCTCCCTCGCCTCGCACTCCTTTACCAGCTCATCAACCTGAAGAAGTAATAAACATCCAGCTTTTGCCAGGCCGGGTGACAGCAAAAAAGGGTCGCGGTCAAAGCCTGGCATCATGCTAGACAAGACCTGCGCCATCAACTGTCCTTTTCGTTGCGTTCAAGGCTCCGAAAGCTGTGACCAAATAAGCACCTGTTCTGAGAAGGTCATACACGCTAAGGCAGTTGGCCGAATATGGTTCGACTGAAGCTCGCATTGGAATATGTCTGTAGGCCGTCATGGTGCCGAATCACACGTCTGCAGTTGCAGCTCAAGCACTTGCTTCAATCGCCGCAGAAGCTCCTTGTCATCCAGGTTGGGCTCAGTGGGCATCCCAAGAGTCGCATACTCTGCCTCTCGTGCGCTTCAGTGACTCTTGCACAGAAGACGGCTACCGCCAGTGCACTTAACCTCCTTAGCACGGTTTTGATTGAACATGTTCCATTCCATCATGCGGGGGTCGCGTTGTTTTGCCAGCCGCAGCTAGCACATGTAAGTCGCAGAATGATTCAGTCCAGCCTCTACCCCACAAGGCTCATTAGCATTTTCGACACAAATTGTCAAACTCCACACGGCAGATACAACCAGCTGAACACCTCGAACAGATGCCTACAACTTGGATACCAGGAACGGAGGGCCCTGCCTGTAGTAGAGACGACGGCATCGATTCATAACGCTCAACCTCTGTGAAGATGCCCAAGGCCTGTTTGACATCTTGTGTCGACTTCACTCTGACTTGCCAAATTGCGAACTCAGGCGAACTCTAGACTGCAGCGGTGCCCGGTACGCGACTCGACAAGCTGCAAGTTGCTCCACAACTCATTTCCTGCATCCAAGGTACAACTTCATGCCCAACGGTGTTGACAGGAATGCCCTTCCTGGGAAGGCTATTTGCCGCTGTCGGAGGGGAAGTGTGAGAGAACAATTCTTAACAGTACCCAAGAATCAGCTCGAGCATCTCGGTTAAGAGCCAGGAATGCAAAGCATCAACCATTTCCTTCTTCTCAGCTCGCTCTGCATGCCTGAGCCATGCGCATATCACTCTGTCACGACGTGGAACTCCCGTGGCCAGAGATTCACAAGCAGCGTCTTTCAACGCAGTCCAAAGGGCATCTTCAACATGTGAGACGCATTCGCCGCCACCTGACTGGACACAGCATCTGACGTCGTTTGTTGATACAACAGGCGCTGTTGCAGCCTGCACAGTCTGAAACTTCACTCCTTTGGCTTGGCATTCCTCTCTCAGGCCATCGGTTGTCATTTGCGACCAAACCTTGGAGGTAAGCTTTGCTTGCAGGCTCCGAGTTGTCCCAAAAACTCTTGCTTGTGCAATCTTATGTGACCGAGTTACCAAGTGGTTGCGCAATCGATTTACCAAGTCCTGTTTTCGTGGATAGGACTCCGCAGGCAAGTTCCGCTTTCGGCATTCATGGCGCAACTGCGGCAGCTCCTTTTCACGGGGATAGATGCCAATCGAGAGTGACAAAGGTGCACCACCCAAACATTCGATTCGAACTCTTGACTACTTGCTGCTGTCGGCCAGCAGGCGAGGTTCTGTATTCTCTAGCACAAATATACGTCAACGCGCGGTCGCTCCTTCTTCTGGAATCGCTGAACTTGATCCAACAATCCCTGCGCCACGAGAGTACTCGGCATCCTTGTCGGCAGTTCAGGGGGAAGTAGCTGAGCATCACGCCGAAGGAGGAACTGGCTTGCTCGTTGTGCTTACTTACTCTATTGAAGAAAGCAACGTAGATGTGCCAAGACTCTTGAGGACAGGAATCTGAAAGCGCTGCCAGCTGTCCTGGAAAGCCACGCTTGTGAATCACAATTACCATCATGGCCCGCCTATCCTCCCAAGTAGCTCTCCAAGCCAAGTTTCGTCCAGTTACTCCAGCTAATGGGGGAAACTGAAGCACAACAGCAGAAAACACCCGATAGCTGGCCCGTAGACGGCAATAGAATCCAAGCAACCACAACCCACATTGCACGCAAAGGTGCAGCTGTGACCAAGCCAATCAGCTCTGTGCGCCGATGCTCGCCCCTTTCAGACTTCGGAATTTGTAGCTTGGTATGGTCGTAATACCATTTTCAACGATTGCATGTGTTTCCATGCAGGCCACGCAAGCAAGGGCGAGAGGGGGGACAGGATCCGACACATGCAAGATTAGAGATCCTTCGCAGACATGACAGTCGTACTCGCAAGCTCTGCGCTTCTGATTCGATCTAGCTCTTGTGGTGGTTTTTCAGATTTGTCTATCCAGCATCAGCCTG